AAGGATGCAGACCAATATTCCTGAGATCACGACCTTAACATAATTTTGCAGCAGTAATTATCTCAAAATCCAACAACCACCTTATGCCTCAGCTTAGTTTGGGTTATTCACAGTTGTTCCTGTACATGATAATCTCTGGAAAATGCCATCTGTAACCCCTGACATCTTCAACAATTAAAACTCAAGCTGAGCAGATTAACTCTAAATATTTATTGAAATCATCCATATCTTTCCATCTCTGTCATTTCTGAGAACAAGCATTTCCAATATCCTTCAATCAGGTCTTTATTAATCCATTCTCATTCCCCTCAAATTTACTCTCCCATATCAGCCAAGTAAATTTTTAAAATAAAAATTTAACAGTCATGGCCCTGCTGATTGAAATGCCTCAACAGCTTTCCAAATCAGTAATAAGGCTTATTAAGGCCCTATGTAACCTCTCTGACCTTAACTGTCTCCACAGGTCCCCTGCCACCACTAAACTACTGCCACACCTTCAGTTACTCAAACACAAGTTCTCTTCCGCCTCCAGACCTTTGCATAGGCTGATACCTCTACTTAGAATGCTCTTTCTCCCACTCTTTGAAACTTTCATACTGAATCAGGACCCCTGGCTTGCAGTCATTGAAAATACTTTATCATAACTATAATTATACAATAATAAGAAATAACTTTTATTGACCACTTACTATGCCAGGCAATATACTCCAAATGTTTCAAAATGTATTTACATAATCTTCATAATTTACTTAGTAATAACTATATAAACATGTATGTAATCCTCATGTATTTACTTATTTAGTCTTCATTTTTAGATGAGAAAACTGAGAACTGGAGAAGTTGGGTAACTTGCCCAAGGTCACATATCTGATGTGCCCAAGGTTCCACATCTGATAATTGACAGAGATGGGATATGATCCCAGACAATCTGTTAGAGTCCCCCCTTTTAACCACGATAGTACACTGACTCTCAGAGATACAACTAATAGTTTAATGTTTGTATTCTCCCCAAATTGTAAGCTTCATGACGGGAGAAGCAGTAAAGGGCAAAAAGGGGTGCGGGGCTTACTTTGCAGTAAACAATGGTAAGCAGAGGGTGCCACATCAAATATTTGTGCATGTCAAAAAAAGATCTCTTTAGCGGAAGAATGAGAATGAACTGCCTGGACAGAGGTATGTGAAACAAAAGCTAGTCTCTACCAGACTGATCATATCTATTTTAGAGAAAGCAACATTAATTTTAGAATAAAATTATGCTTAAAAGAAAGAACACCACCACCACATCAATTAAAAAGTAATTACTATTTCCATATTCCAAATTAATATTTTTACTTTCAAAATACAGTGAACATAATTTAATCATTCAAGGAATTAGAATGGTTATTACAAAACTCTAAATTTTTATTATAAGCTACTGAAATAGACACTGTAGCATTAAACGAGTAGAATATGTTTACCAATTGGGTTAAAACAAGACCAAATCCCTGATGGCAACTTTTTCTTGTGATTCTATTTCTAAAGTAGCCAGGAGTTTTACTGTTAACATGCTGATACACGTGTCCCATCATAAAATCAACTCTTTCACAACACTGAAGTACGAAGACTTTTCTATAGCCAGCAACTTTTCATCTTTAGCAACAGAGTATGCATGCACCTGTATTATAAAGGGTAAAGAGAACCAAATGTAGGTGGGGGTTGGGGGTGACAGGACTGCTCTTTTACTACTGTTTCCCTAATGGAGATTTTACTATTTCACTCTGATTGCTGAATACAAAATCTGACTTCTTACTTTTCCCTCCCAATTTCATATTCACTATCAGCAAACACTTCACACCCATACAAATACACACAAGTTCTCTGTTGTTTATAAAGCAGGCAGAAAATTAATAAAAATCACAGTCAATTTCCATTAACATTTATCTGCCTTTATCAAGATGTAGTCAATCAAAATTGAAACCAATCATGAGAAGCCATAATATCTAAAGATAATCTGGTTATCTTTATTACTGGCTTTTAGAGGTAAAAGCTGATAGGTCAAATCCACTGAGACACTGCCCAAAATCTATGGAACTAGAATACTGTACACCTATATCAAATATGATATACTACCACCTAGAAATATTTATAACCCAAGGAATTTGTTTTAGTGGTATTTTTTGGTAATAGAATTCTGAGCTACCAATCCTACTTCACAACTTATAAATAATCCTAATTTTATTTCGTTCCGGAAAACACTAAAAAAAAAAAAAAAGAAAGAAAAGAAAAGAAATGGGATTAAATAAAGAAGAGAAAGGCACTTACATTAGAAAAAAATCTAGCTCCTCAAAGAACAAAGAATTTAATATCTGGAAGTCTTTAGGAAAAGAATGATCTTTCCTCCTATTAAAAAACATACTACTCGAAGTCCTACTAGTTCTAGAATACTGTGGCTTGATATAATATAAATAAATGTATAATGAATAGTTTACTAATCTACTTAGGATGGATCTAAAAAAAGTGAAGATTTAGATAAATTTTAAATTGATAATTTCTAAATTCATCAACTTAAATTGATACGGAAATAAAAGCAATTCATTTCATAGTTTTAGTAAATGCAGACTGCCTGATAAATGAGCAATAAAAGGCTTAATGAACACTGAAAAGGCAGTTAACAGGTAGATGCAAAGGAAACTGACTGGAAATGTGATTCAGCAGGAAACTAGGGGCTTACAGGAACATATCAACAATCATTATTTTGGAGAGTAGTTAAATATTTTGGCACAGAGTTCTGTACAGGGGTTACAGGAATACTTCGTAAGAGATATCATCCCCCACAAAACAGGGTAGCTCACATTTGATAAAAAGAGAGGGCAAGCCAGGAGAGCGATGAAAACACATCACTCTTCCTAATCCAATAACTGTTTACTGAAATCTGGTACCTGAAGCTGCTTTACTGAGATGACATTCCCAAAACCATGTACACCATACCTTAGGGTGTGCCCCCACCAAATCTACAAACCCTCTAAAGAGTATTACCAAAAGGCCTATCAGCTCTCCTGATCAGTCTGACTTTGATCTAGGAAGAATATGTTGTGCATGCTTCAACTTGAAGAAACAGATTTTGTGGTTTTTCAAATCCTTAAAGTTGCCTGTATCAATATGCCTCATACAGATTCAAACTTATAACCACTAACATACAAGCTTAAAAGACACGTGCATCATCCTAAAATCAAAACACTAATAACTCAAAAAGTGCTAACTGTAAAAAAAGCACACCATCATATATTAACTGAAAAACCAACTATAAATGGTATGCCTTATGACCAATAAGTTAGATTTGAGAACTCACACAATAGGGCCTAAAATTAAAATAAGCAATATTTTATCCTTAAATATTAAGATATAAATTTATAAATTACAAGTGGAAGAACATATAACAGTAGAAAGCCCATAAGTTTAGAATATAAAACAAATCCTCTAAGTATGAAGGAAATGTTTTTAATGAGGTTGAATATCTCACGCCAGTGTCAGAGGTGGGGGTGGGGAGCACTCCCTAATGCAGAGGAGAGAGGGTGGGAATCCATAAGAAACTGATGGATGGTCTGCTTTGCTGGGGGATATGGATTTCTACAAGCCTCCCAATAAATTTAAGAAATGCTCGAACTTAGAGGGAAGGAGAGAGAAACTGCTGAGGATTCTGTATTTTGAGGCCCTGCTTTGAGACCTGAAATGCCAAATATTTGGTGCCCCAATCTCTTTAATCCTGACATACTTTCTCTGAAGAAATGTTAGCCATCACAGGCTATATTCTATTTTTCCTGGGTATAATTTTGAATGTCTTGTTATGTGCAAAAGAATCTAGAAATAACGTGAATAAGAATTACATGGGATAGATCTGGGAGAACTAAAGAAACAAATTTTTTTTTTTTTTTTGCAGTACGCGGGCCCCTCACTGCTGTGGCCTCTCCCGTCGCGGAGCACAGGCTCCAGACGCGCAGGCTCAGCGGCCACGGCTCACGGGCCCAGCTGCCCCACGGCACATGGGATCCTCCCAGACCAGGGCACGAACCCACGGCCCCAGCATCGGCAGGCGGACTCTCAACCACTGCGCCACCAGGGAAGCCCAAGAAACAATTTTTGAAGCCTTTCTGAGAAGAACCTAAAATGATAGTATTTATTTGTGAGCAAAGTAGTGCAGACCCAGGGCTACACTGCTATAGAACTATTTCTAAAAATTCTGCATTAAGAAAAAAAAATCTGTATTGTTAGATCATGATTTCGGATACAAGGAACACAAGCAGAAAATGACAGGAGTGTTAGCATTTCATACACACACACACACACAAAATTTGGGTGAGCTGTTCACTCAACAAATGTTTGCTGAACTTTGTACCAGATATTGTGCCTTCACTGCTTCTATACTTATCTTTGTTAACCTCAAATCTAGAGATGGGTAGAAATGTTCCAGTCTTCCTGTCTAGATTTCAAGGAAAAAGATGTTTGAAGTTTCTATTCTTTCAAATTTTAAAAATATAGCTACTTGCCTGAAACTTTGGGAAAGGGAAGAACAGCATGTCTAAAGCTAGTGGAAGGAAACTAAAATATGCCTCCTTCTGATACCAAGTTAAATGTAGCAAAATTTTTAGTCTATGGATTTATGCTTTCCCTGACCTTTTCTCTTAGCTTCTTTTCTGAACATGAGTTTTCTGGTCCTGCTATACTCTGTGGAGAATATGAAGTTTTAAAAAAATCTAACAAACTTCCTTTGTATTACAACATTAATGGTTTATTCAGTTTAAGGTTTTCCCTCTTTCACATCTAACTAATAAGAAATGAAATTATTTCTTAGAACACTAGGACTTTAATAATTTATGAGATAATTTTATGAAAAAAATAATTTATAAGAAACACTATATTTTTAAACTAACAAAATGACTCACTGACAAAATGGCCCAACATCCACCCTTAAAATACTGATGACAGCACCGTTTTTCCCCCGGTCTTTCCCACCACCTACTTACCTGTGCAATTTCTTTCAACATTGGCTACTCTGGGGATTGGAAAGCTCAGGGCTGGAGGCTGAAGTGAAGAAGGAAAGGTTGGAGGGTGAGCCATGGCACCAGCCCCGCACTAGGAGCGCCCCTGAGATACTACAGCAGGGTTGACACCATAGCTCTGAAGTTCAAACTCCAGCAAACGATAAGAAAGGAGTCCAACCAGAACATGATAAACGATGGGATTCTTCCGCTCTTTGAAAAATAAGGAAATCATGCTATAAAGATCTGAATGTCCAGTTTCAACATTATGACTCCCTGTTCACCTCTTCATCATTCCCCAACCCCAGATTCACCTCAGACTGATTCAAAGTGCTAATCAAAACAAAGAGGGTGGGGGGTGAAGCGCACAAGTAGAGCTTTCTATAAACTTGCACACAGAAAATGAGGATAGGGCTCACCTGGCCATCATAAAAACGTGCAAGACAATATGTTAAAATACTCTGCCTATCTGCCCCTTGAATACTTTCTTGCTCTCCTAAGCACTCAACATTAAATCTAAGGCTCTCATACGCATTAACATTAATACCATCAGCCAGCAAAATGACAGCTGGACTATTTCGATGTATTGATATTTAAATTCCTAAAATTGGGCCAATGAGCTTTTCAAAACCCAGGGATAACTTTCGGTATAAGGATATTCCTTGGGGGAATTTCCTGGCAAGTCCAGCGGTTAGGACTCCACACTTCTGCTGGGGGCCGGGGTTTGATCCCTGGTCAGGGAACTAAGATCTTGTGAGCCGTGCAGCATGGCCAAAAAAAAAAGTATATTCCTTGGGAGGAGACTAATTTTTTAAAAGTGTTCCACTCTGATAAAAGCAAATGAGGACCCCCTCAACTAAAATAACTTTAATCAAACTAGATGATAAAAAAAATCATAGACTTTTAAAGAAATAAATCTAAATACAGGACTTAAACTGTGACTTTTATGAGAATGAATCCTCACTTTATAATATAAAAAGTAAATTACTGATTCAGAGGAAACTAGACTCTGATTATTATGACTACTAAAGCTAATAAAAATAGATGCTCATTTAAGTTATTTAAAGATAACATCTACTCAATAACAAATATTATTGGAGGTGGCAAATGTTTTAAAACAGTAAATTACATATAGTGAAGTATCAGAATCCTAAATTATGTTATATGAAGCAATTAAAAATAAAAAGTATTCCTTTAGCAAGGGAACACAGGACTTTTAAAATACTTCTAAACATCTTGCCATATAAATTAATTCAGTAAACATTATTCAGTGAGCATCTACAATGTAATACGCTAAATATATTTACATTTATACCCTTATGTACTTTACCCATTTGATGCTCAGAATAAAGAACATCACAAATCAAAAGGAGTAAAGAAGAAAACACATTTACAATGCTCCTGCACCATTACTCTGGCCTCCAGGCCTTAGTGAACTTACCCTTCATTACCTGCAATCTCCTACCATTTCCCCCTTCTCTTATTGTGTTCCTGCCCGACTGCCCCACTCCCCTTGCCATTCCTCAAACACAAAAGGCATACTCCTGTCTTCAGACCTTTGTACTTCTTGTACCATTCAAGAATGCTTTCTTTTTAGGTATCTACATGGCTTCACCTCACCATACTTCATATATTGAGCCATCCTAGTGAGGACTTCACTGTTTATTCTATTTAAAAGTATACTGTCCTTTTCCCCAACCCCTTATGCACTCTCTATCCCCTTTCCTGTTTTAATTTTTCCTCCATAGCATGTATCAAAATATAATACACAATGCATTTTATTTATTTTGTTTAATGTCCTCCTATACTCTAAAATATCAGCTCCACGAGAACAGAATTTATTTATTTATTTCGTCTCTTTGTTCACTTCTGTCTCCACAGAATCTGGAACAGTGCCTGGCACTGAGTAGGCCCATAACATGAACGTGTCCTCCTCTTACTCCACACATGCTGTTACTTGAGCGTTATTTGACAGTAACCCATCACTGCAGTGCTTACAGTACATGTGAAAATTTTATGAGCATAACAATTATTTTAAAACTTAATGGAATTATGTCAAAAATTAATGTTAATTTTTGCATTTCTGAAACATATGAATAAAGTTGTTTTATGCCTTTTTCCACTGAAATTGACAACCACTTCCAAAATACCTAATAGACTAACAGACACCTTCAGTGGTTAGAATGCCATGCCATGAGAAGTACCAAATAAGGATTTGGAGATGAAAATTTTTTTTTTCTATTTCCCAAACTTTTTCTCAAGTTAGATTACCTTTTTAAAAAAAGTTATTTCACGAGTATTTCAGACTTAACAGTTTAATATGAGACAACACACATTTCTTTTCTATCAAAAAATCCCATTAGAAAAATTATACTACTTAGAGCCACTGGGTTGCACTGTAGTCCATGGGAATATGCACTCCTTGAGAACAGTGTACCACTACAGCAGCCTAACACAGTGGGCCTGGTACAAATAAGCACTAATATGTGTTGAGAGTTTATCAAATGATAGGTATTACTCAAAGCACTTTATATATATTACCTTACTTAATCATAACAAAACCCCTATAAGATATACTTTTACCTCAAATTGAGGCACAGAAGGGTAGGGCCTATGGACTCTCATTAGATTGAAAATATTTCTCTATCACAGTTATAATGAAGAATACCCAGTCCCTGCAACCCCAGTAAGATACTAAAGATTTAATCTCCACAAAAACCCAAGTGGATAGACTCCAAATTTTAGAAGTTAGCTGAAGCATAGGTGAGGGTGAGGCATGGGCTTGAAAATTGAGAAGTGAAGACCTACATTCTGAGCTGTGGGATCCTCCGCTTTCTTTCCTTAACCTGCTTACAGAACAGTCAGTCAGATTTAAGAACCATTCCTCTACCCTACCTCTCTACCTGTGGAAAAACTGAATTGCTCCGGAGAAACAAATGTCACACACTATCGTATTTTTTTATCTTAGGTATTGGAATATACCAAAGACCTGTCCTATTCTAGGATGTGATAGTTTAGGGTGAATATGACTTGAACTTATGTTTAGAGGGCATGTGAAATTGAGAACCAGGTATATTCGTCTACTCTAACCCTAAAAGTGGCCCTAAAGTAAAGTGCTTGAAGAAACTAGATCCTAAAGATTATAGGTGGGGAATTTTTGAAGTATATGTCATCAGTATGCCCATATTCAAGCAGAGATAAAAGAAGCTCAACTAAAAGAACTGTGGACTGGGACTTCCCTGGCGGTCCAGTGGTTAAGACTCCATGCTTCCAACTGCGGGGGGCGCAGGTTTGATCCCCGGCTGGGGAACTGGGATCCCACATGCCACGCAGCATGGCAAAAAAAAAAAAAACAAAAAACAAAAACTGTGGATTGACATGACAATTGTGGGTTAGGTAAACTTTCTTTTTTTATTTTTATTTTTTAATTTTTTTGCAGTACGCGGGCCTCTCACTGTTGTGGCCTCTCCCGTCGCGGAGCACAGGCTCCGGACGCGCAGGCTCAGCGGCCATGGCTCACGGGCCCAGCCGCTCCGCGGCATGTGGGATCTTCCTGGACCGGGGCATGAACCCGTGTCCCCTGCATCGGCAGGCGGACTCTCAATCACTGCGCCACCAGGGAAGCCCAACTTTCTTTTTAAAGGGGCTATCTTGAAGATCATGACTCAAACTTTCGAGGAACTAAGGTAAGGTGACAGGCAGTGAAAGGAATCACAAAATGCAAAATTCTTAAATAAAAATTTAATGATTTTAATGTTGTCTATGTTACACATAACTTAAAAAGCTTTAAAAAAATTTAAAGTCCTTCAAGTAGAAGGAAAATGATACTTGATATATAAATGATATGATATATCATATGATATATATCATATGATCATATGATATATGATATGATATATATCATATGATATATGATATATCATATGATCATATATCATATGATATATCATAAAATGAAAATGATATAAAGAAAGAAGGGAAGGAAGGAAAAAAACACAACCTCCTGGATTGATAGTGTCTTAGGCACTGGCAGAAGCAAACACAAATCCCCTTGGGAAAAATGTCTTTCCATCTAGTCCTCAAAGAAGTCACACAGATTTCTAAGAAACATAAAATGGTAACTTACACACCTACAAGGAATCAAGGTATCATAAGTGAGAACCAGAAGAAGCAAAAGACATGAGAATGATCTGTGGCAACTTTCAGCTGCTGGATTTATCACATATTAAACATAAGCATGTATAAAATGATTAAATAAATAAAAGAAGATATATTAGAGTCGAAATCTAAACAAAATAATGGTAAAAATGTGAAAAATAATGATAAATACGTGGGTATAGAAGACATAGACAAGATTAACGAACTTGATCTAATGGAAACAGAGCAATACACCTGCCAACTGGTCAATATGCATTTTGTTCAAGTAAGTAAACAAATAATTGATATCATACTGATCACATTCTCTAGCTACAGCAGAATATGTGAGAAGTCAGCAATATGAAGATAATTAGAAAAGCCTCATAAGTTTGGAAAATTAAAAACACTTAAGACTAAAGAACAGTAAAACAAAACCTAAGGAATAAAAGGAAATATCAATAACTTAAAGAGTATAAATTGATGAGTATAAAACAAAAAATAAATTTAAAGCAAGGGTGACAAATAAGATGAAAAGGCACACAGTCAACAATCTTACGGATGAAAAAAGGTGCTAAAAATATTTAAGAATATTTAAATATTATTAATATTTAAATATAAATATTTAATATAAATATTTAAATAGGTAGCATTATGAATAATTTCTTAATCCTGATAAAGAATATCTACCAAAAAAACCCAAAACCTGCATCAAACATCATATTTACTGGTGATAAAGTTTGTAAGACAAGTAACAAGAGAAAGATTCCTACTACTAACACTTCTACTCAACCTTGTATCAGAAATATGAGTGCGTTCTGAAAAGAAACGCAAGTTACAAAAATTGTAAAGTATCAAAACTGGAATTTCCAGATGATATATTTATTTACATGAAAGAACCTACCCCAC